ACAAAATTAATATACCCTTGTGCACAAGTGCGCTCGGGTATAAAAAATATATATGAATGTTGTCTTGCAGGTTTCGGCAAGTTAAGTGCTGCAAACCTTATGCTTGCTCCAAAGAGGCCAATTCACGGATATTGTGTTCTCTGACGAGAAAAATTTCGCAATCGATAAACTCACACAATTTTAGCGTTTATTTGACCGAATGCACATATGAGCCTTGGAATGGCCACCCAAATTCCATGGAAATAAATCGTTCCTATAATTTAACCGGCAAAACAAAAACTAATTGGGAAAAATTATTTTTGTTTTTCTATATAATTTTTGGGAATATTTTTTCACGTGAAATTCGTGATACCGTCGATTGATTTTTAAGAATTCTATACCATTTCTATGAAAAGTTGTTTTTTTTTTTTCATATAAAACACATGGAAAACTTTGAGCGCTTTGAGCGAACTTTAAATATTTTTTGATTTCAAAATAAAAAATAGTGGTATGTATATTTCTTTCGGTATAGAACAATCCTAGGGATTTACTTTTTCACTGTCTCAACCTTCTTATCATTGAGTCTGGCAAAAAAACAATAACTCGCTCCGCCACTTTTTAGAAGCACTGTTAATAAAATGGTGGGTCTCTAAGTCATCACCAAAAGGCATATTCTGCATTAATTATAAACATTTTGTAACCGGTAAATGAATTACAACTTTGCCTAAAAATATGCAACGTCTTCAAATAAATATTATTTACCATTTTTGCATTCGATTTTGAAATTCTTCGGCTTTGATGTTGCATAATTTTAGGCGCATTGTCTGTTCATTTAGAATCCCACTGTTGGGCTGGTATGCAACGACGTCAGCAGCCGAATTCCAACATTCGGTAGCTAATTTTGATCGCCAAAAAGCTCCAAAATAATATCAGGCGCCCCTAAAAACATGCAACATCTAGTTACATGCCCCTCCTACTGCCAGATTTGGCTTCTGACACATTGTATCAGTTACTTGTCCATGTTGTATATTGTTGTTGTTGTTGATGTTGTTGTTGTTGTATACTTTACAGCCCCACTGAGAATTTTGGCGACGAATTTTCAGCGTAGCGATTATCAGAATTCGACTGCAGGATTTGTTTTGAAAGGACTTTGAAATCGATATTTTGTAAATTTTTCATTAAAAGTACAGTACCTATTCGTCCATGTGTACCAAATATTCAAATAGTTTTCAATTCTACAAAATTCCATCTTTTATTTGATGCCCACATTGTTATTCAACATTGAATTGAATTTTTTGAAATATTTTTTTTCCTGATTATTGGAAAAGTTATTGGAAGTTTCAAAGCCCCTTAACAAAAATCCTGATGAAAAACTAAAAACGCAGTTTCTTTATATTTACGCCCTAGTTTCGCGTGTGTATTGATTTTTTTGTGTGTATTTTTTTATTATTGCTGCATAAAAATAACGAAAATATACATATACCTTGTTTCTACCGACACATAAAGCGCTTTGACTCAGTTCGCAGTGATTCGAAACGTATGTATAAACCAAATTTCAGTGCGCTTTGAAATTCAAAAAAGTACCGTTTTCACAAATCCAACCAATGGTGCAAAACCGCTGAACCGAAGCGACCAAATTTTTCAGCCGGTTCACGTTCCTGGTCGAAATTACAGAGAAAATAAATATTCTTGTTTTTGTAGGTATGCACTTTATGTATTTAAATAATCATTTATGCAGTATGTTCTTTATGTACTTTTATGCGCGCAAATTTGCCGCAATGCCGATGCAATGAATATGTAGTAAAAATGTATGCATGTATGTTTGTAAGTATATAATTATAACATTTTATTCATTTACGAATTAACAACAAATCGATTTCGACATACATACATACTTGGAAATACATACACATTAAAATGCTTAGCAAATTGTTTTTCTCGTGTCTCTCTGTGTGTATACATAGTATGAGCTGGTATTATAATATATGTATGTGTATTAGTGTTTAATTTGAATTGATGTTGTTTAGTTGATTTCATTAGTGGCTAAATTTGTTTACATTTTGTATAATTCTATTTTTTGTTTAACATATTGTAGTTTTTTTTTTTCGTTATTAAGTTACATACATTAGATTTGATACGATACAAACACATAGTATGTAGGTAAAAGTATATATGTATATGCACGTA